TAGTTATAGATGATATTCGTCATTTATTAAAAGAAAATGTGCATTTTTCTTTGTCTAATTGTAAAAGGTTTGCTAATCGTGTCGCTCATGCAATTGCAAGGGCTAGCGTGTTAAGTCCAGGTCGTAGGGGAATTCATGAGTCTTTACCTGAGCATGTTGTAAGCCTCATGGAAAATGATTTACTTTATTAAATGAAAGGTTGTTTTATCATTAAAAAAACTTATGTGTCCATTCAAAATAAAAATCAATCGCATAACTACATTTTTTATAAGGTCTGTGACGTGTTCATATTATCCCAAAGATATATAGTAGAATAGGTGTACTATAAAATACAAATAAATATCCTTTAGATGTCGATTAAAGATAGTTATAATAAGTACTCTGTTAGAAAATTGATATTAAAAATGCGAGTTTAACCAGATAAAAATCCCGAGTTTATACAAATCACCAGACAAACCAACAAATGCAAGAACAAATAAAAATAATAATAATTAGAATATTAACAAAATGATTAAATAGAAAGGATAAGAAAAGACTTATCGCAGGATCGCCCGTTAAAACGGACTGGCCTTGAAGAAAGATAGCCCCCGTATCCCGATAGCTATTCGGACGGGTCTGGCTAGCTCGCTCCCAGGATAATCCTACCACGTTTCAGGCTCGTAGCTACCTTGACTGAAACCTTCGACCGTTGCCCAATTTGCCTTTTGAAAGTGAAGAAACTCAACGAAAGAAGCTATGGATTTTATGCTCTCGAAACGGAAGAAACAAATTCCTTGAAGACAAGAAAATATGCAGACCACAGCAAGTGTGTTCGCACTTAGAGAAATTAAAGAAAATGAGTTTACTCCCAGGACGTTTTCTTTATACGTGCAGTGGCATATATATGCATTATTCATATCTATTACTCCACGAATGATCTATTAAAGAAGCATGCAGTGGGTTCATATGTATTACTTGAAAATCAGAATGAATACAAACATATGAATGAGGTGTAACGTTTGTTCCACGATCTAATATTAATGATCCTTAAACAAAGGTTGACCAGGCTTATTCCAATCGGACAATTCAAATTCAATTTTTGAAACGTCCGAAACCAGCTTTAAGGCTGCTATTTATCATCTATATTAAAGAGATAATAAAACCGGGCTATCCAAATTCAATTTTGAAAAAGTCCTATAACAGCTTTATTAGAGCTACTGTTTATTATCTTATTAAGATAATGAAACATCTCAGAATTATTGTCCATAAGTTAAATAGTCTTTTGACTTGAAATATTTTCCATACAATTTTATCATAACGAATGGTCCTAAGAGTATGGAATAATATTTTAAGCCATCTTACATGATACTTGAATGATATTCCTTATCACATAATTTTTTTCTTCATCTATTTAAGATATAGGACAATAATTCACCATTTTAACATTTCACTTTACAACTCTTACAACTATGGATTCTATTCACCAAATGAAATAAATCCAAGTATGAAAGTTGTACTTTGATAATAAGCCACTCTCATTACATATATTTATATTGCACACATATTTCAGGACTCAAAATGAGACCATTCAAAAAATAATTTATTTCATCATATTTCCAACAATCCCCCACAAATCCATAGTTGTAGACTCAACTCTAAGACATAGTGTGCTTTCAAATATGGTACCTTCCGGTTTGAACCAAATTCTAAGCTCTTACCCCTAACCCCCACAGGAACTGAGTGAACAGAGTTCTTGAACTCGAACCTTGATTGTGTTGGCGCGGGATAAAAGCAACACACTAACGGCGATGGCAACGATCTATAGGGGTGACGCTTTACGGCCGTGCGTCCGATCCTGTCTCAAGAATGTCATCGAGAATAAACCCACATTCTCTTATTGCGGCCACACAATAACATTCTCATAGTTGGGCATCTCCAAGAGTGCATTGCTAACACTCTGCTATTAAAGCTTGATCCCATTCAGAGTCTTAAACTCTTACTAACTTAGCAATTTTAGCATCTCTAAGGCTTATCAAGGAATAGAACTCATAAAACAATTTTTTCATGAGATGCACAATTCACTCTACAGTTTGTTTATACCTCATTGAACCTACTTTATGGGATCTCCACTCAGATAGGTCGGGTTGCTACCGTAGATGAATAATTATTGGGTTTCAGTCCCATTCCTAACCTTGATTTTATCACTTGATTTAAATCAAGTCCTTTTGTTAACGGGTCCGCTGTATTATCTTTAGATCCAACAAAATCAACAGCAAACACCCCTTGAGACACAAATTTCCTTATAGTTTTTAATCTAACTTGAATGTGTCTCCTAGTCTTTTGATTATACTTGGTACTCCTAATTTTTGCAATTGTACTCATACTATCACAATGCAAACAAATAGGTGGAATTGGCTTGCTGAATATAGGTAACTCGGACATTAGTCCCTTAAACCATTCAGCCATAATTCCTGTAGTATCCAACGCACATAATTCAGCCTCAAAAGTAGACCGAGAAAGTACAGTTTGTTTAGTGGACTTCCAGGCAACAACCCCACCACCAAACGTAAACACATAGCCGGTACACCCATAACTCCCGGAGTTCTTAGCTATCCAGCTTGCATCACTATATCCTTCAAGAACAGGAGGATATTTACCATAATGCAAACCTAAGGAAATAGTTCCTTTCAAGTATCTAAATACTCTATCTAAAGCCTCCCAATGAGTTCTGTTTGGACAACAAGTGTACCGACTAAGTTTAGACATTGAAAATGCAATATCAGGTCTAGTACAGTTAGCTAAGTAACCCAAGCTACCAATCATCTGAGAATATTTTAATTGAGACACCGGAACACCACTTTCATTTTTATACAAAGCTACAGAAGGATCATAGGGTGTTTTAGCAATTCTACTATTTTTAAATCCAAATTTCTCAATTAATTTTTCAATATAATGAGACTGAGAAATAGAAATGCCTTCGGTTGATCTAGTCAACTTTAGCCCAAGAATTACTTCCGCCACCCCCATATCCTTCATTTCAAACTTTGTTTTCAAAAATGACTTGGTCTCAAAAATAATATTATCATTAGTGCCAAATAATAATATGTCATCAACATATAGGCATAAAATAATGCTTATATCACCTTTACATTTATAATAAACACTTTGATCAGCATCTATAAGAGTAATCCAAACGAAGAAATTATTTTATCAAATTTTTCGTTCCATTGCTTAGGGGCTTGCTTAAGTCCATATAAAGACTTAACTAATTTACAAACTTTTCTCTCATTGCCTTTTGCCACAAATCCCTCAGGCTGATCCATATAAATTTCTTCTTCAAGATCACCATGAAGAAAAGCTGTCTTAACATCCATTTGATGAATTTTAAGACCATATACGGAGGCCAATGCTATAAGCATTCTTATTGTGGTCATTCTTGCAACTGGAGCATATGTATCGAAAAAATCAATACCTTCTTTTTGTTTATAACCCTTAGCAACTAATCTGGCCTTATATTTATCAATGGTTCCATCTGGTTTTAGCTTCTTTTTAAAAATCCATTTACATCCAATAGTAGTACACCCGGGAGGAAGATCAACAAGCTCCCATGTTCCATTTTGAACAATGGAGTCCATTTCACTTTTAATTGCATCCTTCCAATACATGGCCTCAGACGTGGCCATTGCATCTCTAAAGGAAATTGGATCACCCTCAATATTGTAAGTGATAAAATCACTTCCAAAATCCTTAGTGATTCTAGCTCGTTTGCTCCTTCTCGGTTCATCTAGATCATTTGATTCAAAATCAATATGACTAGAACTACCAGATTCTACCCCCACATTTGTCATCTTTTCCACTTGATCAGGAATTGAATTAAATGTAGTTTCTTGATTTTCAAAAGAAGTATTTTGGGGCACACCCGTTTTCATTGGAAAAACATCTTCAAAGAAAGTAGCATCACGAAGTTCTACAATAGTATTGACATCTATGCCAGAAATTTCAGATTTAATAACCAAAAATTTCAATGCATAAGAATGTTCAACATAACCAATAAAAATAGCATCAACAGTTTTAGGCCCAAGTTTCTTTCTTTTGTGTTCAGGGACTAACACTTTTGCAAGACAGCCCCACACTTTAAAATATTTCAAACTTGGTTTTCTGCCTGTCAAGAGTTCAAATGGACACTTATCTTTATGTTTCATGGGAATCCTATTCAAAATATGGCAGGCCGTATTCAAGGCTTCCCCCCACATAAACTTAGGTAATCCAGAATTCTCTAATAAACTGTTAATCATATCTTTAAAAGTTCTATTTTTCCGTTCAGCTACTCCATTTGATTGTGGTGAATAAGGAGGTGCTTCTTCATGTACTATACCATATTTTTGGCATTCCAGTACAACTAAATTAGAAGTATACTCTCCTCCCCTATCAGACCTTAACCTTTTAATTTTCTTGCCAGTTTGATTCTCTATTTCATTCTTAAAAATTAAGAATTTTCCAAGAGCTTCATCTTTACCCTTAAGTAGATACACATAACAGTATTTAGAATAATCGTCAATAAAAGTGATAAAGTATTTTTTCTTATCACGTGTAAGAACTCCATTAAACTCACAAATGTCGGTATGAACTAAATCAAGTAATTCTGAATTTCTATCAATTGAATGATATGGTTTTCTTACTTGTTTAGTAGTAGCACATACCATACATTTCTTAGTTTTATCAATAGAGTGCTTAGGAATTAAATTTAAATTCATCATTCTTTTCACAGAATCTAAATTAACGTGACCCAAACGATAATGCCATAAAGTTGAAGAATCACAATTCTCAGATACATAATTTAATTCTAAATAATCAACCATAACTTTAAAAAGTCCATCAGATAAGTAACCTTTGCCAATAAAAGTTCCGCCAAATAAAATTACAACTTTATTTAATTTAAAAGACAACTCATAACCCTCCCTAACTAGAATGGAACCACTAACGATGTTCCTTCTAATTTCGGGAACGTGATGCACTCCATTCAAAGATAGAATTTTTCCCGAAGGGAATTTTATTTCTACTTTTCCAATTCCTTGCACACTTGCAGCACTTGTGTTCCCCATCATCACTGTTCTTCCAACCGCAGGCTGATAAGAAACAAAGAGCGATTTATCAGCACATACATGCACATTCGCTCCCGTATCTATTAGCCACTCATTGGAATTATAAATAGTGAAAATTTGAGGATTAATAGAAACGTACCCATTAGAACTAGTCCCTCCAGTCACCATGTTGACTTGAGGTCCCCCAGATTGAGCCTTGGCCTTTTTATTAGCACACAATTTGGCCCAATGCCCCATCTGTCCACAGTTCCAGCATGGTCGGTTTGCCTTTGGTTTCTTTGCAATTTTTAGTTTGGCCTTTATGGGTTTAAAAGATGGTGATTGTTTATTTTTAGAATTATGTGCTTGCTTTCCCCCAGTCATAACATGAGCCTTCGGTTGAAATTCAACAGGCGCAATATAACCCGCTTTCTTATGCTCCTCCTCAACAGTAAATTTCCAAGTGATCTTTTTCATTTTATGTTTTAAAGTCATACCAAAATCTTCCCATGATTTGGGAAATTTTTCTATGACCGCCATCACTTTAAATTTTTCAGGCAATTCCATATCCGCTTCACGAAGAGAATGTAAGATAAGCTCAAATTCTTGTGTCTGTTCTAACACCGATTTACCTTCTTTCATGTCAAATCGTAGGAATTTAGAAACAATATACTTTTCAAGACCGTGGTCCTCAGTATTATATTTCTTATCCAACTCATCCCAAAGGTCCTTAGCCGTGCCGTGGAGGGTGCAATAGACATCAAATAACATGTTGGAGAGACCCAACAAAATCATGCCTTTTGCAATTTCATCCCTCTCACGCCATAAAGCTTGGCGTTCAAGACTTTTGGGATCTGATTCAACAACGGGGGGACACACCGTCATAATTACCGAGAGCAAGCCCTTGGTGATTAACCAAATTTTCATACGTTGTTGGCAACGCTTGAAAAAATGCCCAGAAAATTTTTCCGGCATTCCAGTTAAATCAACCCTTTGCGAGCCCGTAGCAACATAGTCAAGTGTGTCTCCACAATTAGTCACAGACACATTATTTTCAGGGATTTCATCCACATTATTCTCAACAACAACATTTTCGGAAACTGCATTTACCAAGTTTGCCATTTTGGATTTTCCAAAACTCGAGAAATAATATCTTTCTTCAAGATTGTTAGAAAATTGATATTAAAAATGCGAGTTTAACCAGATAAAAATCCCGAGTTTATACAAATCACCAGACAAACCAACAAATGCAAGAACAAATAAAAATAATAATAATTAGAATATTAACAAAATGATTAAATAGAAAGGATAAGAAAAGACTTATCGCAGGATCGCCCGTTAAAACGGACTGGCCTTGAAGAAAGATAGCCCCCGTATCCCGATAGCTATTCGGACGGGTCTGGCTAGCTCGCTCCCAGGATAATCCTACCACGTTTCAGGCTCGTAGCTACCTTGACTGAAACCTTCGACCGTTGCCCAATTTGCCTTTTGAAAGTGAAGAAACTCAACGAAAGAAGCTATGGATTTTATGCTCTCGAAACGGAAGAAACAAATTCCTTGAAGACAAGAAAATATGCAGACCACAGCAAGTGTGTTCGCACTTAGAGAAATTAAAGAAAATGAGTTTACTCCCAGGACGTTTTCTTTATACGTGCAGTGGCATATATATGCATTATTCATATCTATTACTCCACGAATGATCTATTAAAGAAGCATGCAGTGGGTTCATATGTATTACTTGAAAATCAGAATGAATACAAACATATGAATGAGGTGTAACGTTTGTTCCACGATCTAATATTAATGATCCTTAAACAAAGGTTGACCAGGCTTATTCCAATCGGACAATTCAAATTCAATTTTTGAAACGTCCGAAACCAGCTTTAAGGCTGCTATTTATCATCTATATTAAAGAGATAATAAAACCGGGCTATCCAAATTCAATTTTGAAAAAGTCCTATAACAGCTTTATTAGAGCTACTGTTTATTATCTTATTAAGATAATGAAACATCTCAGAATTATTGTCCATAAGTTAAATAGTCTTTTGACTTGAAATATTTTCCATACAATTTTATCATAACGAATGGTCCTAAGAGTATGGAATAATATTTTAAGCCATCTTACATGATACTTGAATGATATTCCTTATCACATAATTTTTTTCTTCATCTATTTAAGATATAGGACAATAATTCACCATTTTAACATTTCACTTTACAACTCTTACAACTATGGATTCTATTCACCAAATGAAATAAATCCAAGTATGAAAGTTGTACTTTGATAATAAGCCACTCTCATTACATATATTTATATTGCACACATATTTCAGGACTCAAAATGAGACCATTCAAAAAATAATTTATTTCATCATATTTCCAACATACTCCGTATATATCAATTTAAAATTTGACATTACTTACGGTAATTATGAACATCTTCACTTTTGATCATCTGAAATGCACCATTGCACTTTGATGCATGCTTTTCATCACCCACTTTTGGAAATCCACGTGGTTTAACAACCTCTTGTATGAACAACTGAGCTACACCTTTAGCATTGTAAGGATGAGATAGGGTCAAAAAATTGGGAAATTTGATTAATCTATCCACTACCACCAATTTGGTATCTTTTTTTTTTGCGCCTTAGGCAGACCTTCAATGAAATTCATGCTTATGTCTATCCAAATTTGATTTGGAATTGATAGCGGATGAAGTAAACATGTTGGTTTTAGAGCTTGGTATTTATTTCTATGACATAGATCACATCCTTGCACATAATTCTTAATATGAGTCATCATCCCTATTGAGTAAAACAAATTAGAAATTCTCTTCATTCTTCTCAAATACCCTAAGTGATCACCCTTTGCAGAATCATGGTATTCCTTGAGAATTCTTACTATTCTGGTAGACTCCTTAGGTAACACCAGTCTTCTTTTATAATAGAGCAATCGTTTTATCAGACGGGGTTAATGCTTTCTGAATAATGTTACAACATTTAGGATCATTTGCTAACTCATTTTCTAAACCCTCTTGTTGGGATATTAGTGTCACGCCCCAGATCGCATCTAAGTGCGTGTATAACCACCGTATAACCAAATGACGCCACTCGCAAGTCAACATCACTTAATTATACAAGGTGTCCATGAACATAGTTCATACCATACTCAGTAAGTAAACATACGCAACAACATCACAATTAAACCAATTAATAACGGAAATATTCAACGGTAAGTCATGGACCACATGTGGCCAAAACATGGGATCACAGACCCAAACTAGTTTATAACGAAACAAATATCCATGAGCAAGTGTTTGTAGTTTTAAAGATAACAAGGAAGCACGAAACACATCTTCTTGAATATGACTTCATCCATCTGAAAGGTGCAGGTAGCAAGCTCTAGTTTCAACCTAAAATGGTGGGGGTCAGCACGCGAATACTGAGCGAGCAGTTAGCTGAATGTAGCATAACTAACGTTTCAAGTATAAGACCCAAACATAGGGTGATACATACATATATATTCCTTCCCCCCAAGTTATGAAATACATATCAGTATATATACACTTGGAAATACTCAACCCGTAGGTAATTGTTTATTTAGGAAAATGGTAGTAGTTAACAGAGAAGAGAGAAATGATATTTTTGAATATATTTTTAGATGTCTCGAATGAGTTACAAAGGCTGCTATTTATACAAGTAGTAACCTCATCTATATGGTAAGTAATAATACAATATTAAATGATAATGATATGTAACGGCTAATCATAATATTCTATTTTAAACCCAATTATTTCTTTCCTTCAATACGCCCCCCCAAGCCAGGTATTCTGTCACTCCCAAGAATCCTGAGCTTGTCTCTGAGAAGAATAAAACGTTGTCGAGGAAGCGGTTTGGTGAGGGCATCAGCGATTTGGTCAGAAGATGGGATGTGATGAACCTGAAGAAGTCCGCGTTGAACTCGCTGCCAAACAAAATGAAAGTCAATAGCCACATGCTTCATACGAGAGTGAAAGACAGGATTTGCGGAAGACGTTGTAGCAACTTTGTTATCACAAAGGAGGAGCGGGGGAGAAAGGAGCGGATGCCGCAACTCACATAAGAGAGACTCAATCCAAATAATTTCTGAAGCAGCGGTGGAAAGAGCTCGATATTCGGCCTCCGTGGAGGACTTAGCAATAGTGCGCTGCTTGACTGACTTCCAAGATACAAGAGACTCCCCGAGAAATATAGCATAAGCACTAGTAGACGAGCGATCGTCGGGATTCCCTGCCCAGTCGGCATCAGCAAAGGCACAGAGAGAGGGAGAGGTGCTGCGACCAAGAAGGAGGCCATGAGAGGCAGTGCCTTGTAGATACCGCAAAAGACGCTTGAGAAGCTGCCAGTGATTAACCGTAGGTTTATGCATAAATTGAGCCAATTTGTTGATAGCAAAAGCAGCGTCTGGGCGGGTAAGATTCAAGTATTGAAGGGACCCGAGAACCTGGCGATAGAGAGTGGCATCACAGGAGCCAGAGCTATCAGACAGAGATAAGGAAGCAGAAGTAGCTAACGGCGTAGCCACAGGATTAGCCTCATCCATTTTAAATATCTTCAAGAAGTCCATAATGTATTTGTGTTGATCAAGAAAGAGTCCACCTGGTGTAGGAGTAACCTGCATGCCTAAGAAATAGTGTAAGGCGCCTAAATCCTTAATGGAGAACTGCTGGGCCAATGAGTCAATAGTCTGACGTATTAAGGACGGTGTGGAGTCAGTGACAATGATATCATCCACATAAACCAACACATAGATGTAAGAGTGAGGGGAAGAAAATATGAAGAGACTAGCATCAGCAACGGACTGATAAAAACCAAGCGAGAGAAGAAATCCACTAAGAGACTGATACCACACCCGAGGTGCTTGTTTAAGGCCATAAATAGATTTCCGAAGGCGACATACAAACCCGGAACCATCATTAAAGACAAGTGGTTGCTTCATGTAAACTTCCTCCTGAAGGGTCCCATGTAGGAAGGCATTGTTGACGTCCAACTGGTGCACCGGCCAGCCATGAGAAAGAGCAATAGTCAAGACAACGTGAATAGTGACCGGTTTTATGACCGGGCTAAAAGTGTCAGAATAATCAATCCCGGGGCGCTGGTGAAAACCCTTAGCCACTAATCGAGCCTTGTAGCGATCCAATGAACCATCTGGTTTATACTTCAATGTATAGACCCATTTACAACCCACAATATTTTGACCAGTCTGAGCAGGAACAAGATCCCAAGTTCCCTGTTTCACCAAGGCATCAAATTCTACTGACATAGCCTTCCGTCAGTCTGGTACCTGCATAGCTTGAGAAGCACAAATGGGGATTATGTGATGAGGTAAAGGGTTTTGAATAGCAATATGGGCTTGTTTGCGAGGTCGGAGGGTCATTGGGTGGGTACGTTTGGGTGGTGGAGGTGAGGTAGTGATATCAGGGTTGGTAGGTGGGTGAGGGGCGGTGACAAGAGGATTTGGTTTAGGACGGCGTTGGTAAGTAATAATTTGTGGTGGTGTGGGTGTAGGGGGTGTGGGGTGTGGGTCACTTGGGGTGGAAATAGTGGGTGACGTATCGGGAGACTGTTGTTGAGCCGAGGTATGAGTAGGAGGAGACGCCCCCGTAGTTATAGTACCCGAAATAGGAAGATATGACAGGGAATGTTGAAGCCAAAGATCGACATTAGTAGTGATGTTTGAGGCTGGAGGGGTAGGTGTAGAAAAGGGGAAGACTGACTCATCAAACACGACATGCCTGCTAATAAAGACCCGATTAGTGGTAAGATCAAGACAACGATAAGCACTTTGCTGGTCACAATACCCAAGAAAAACACACGGTTTAGAGCGGGGTTCTAACTTATGAGTGGTATAAGGACGTAACCAAGGGAAACAGATACACCCAAAAATGGCAAGTTTATTGTAATGAGGAGGCTGTTGGAAGATTTTTTCGTAGGGGGAGCAGAAGTTAAGAGAGAGAGCGGGTTGTCTATTAATAAGGTAAACGGCTGTAAGGAAAGCATAAGACCACTATGTAAGAGGCATGGATGCATGGTGAAGTAGGGTGATGCCAGTTTCTACAATGTGACGATGCCGACGTTCAGCAAAGCCATTGTGTTCTGGAGTGTGGGGAGGAGTGAGTAAGTGAGAGATGCCACATGTTCGGAGGAAGTTCCCTAAAGTAATGTATTCACCGCCCCCATCGGAGTAGACTGTTTTAATTGTGCGTTGAAAAAAGTTTTCTACAATCTTTTAAAATTGTTGAAAAAGTGACGTGACTTCAGACTTATGAGTCATCGTGTAAAACCAAATATACTTGGTATAATGATCAACGAAAATAACATAGTAACGAAAGCCATCAACAGATGTAACACGAGCAGGGCCCCAAACATCAGTATAAATTAAATCCAGCGGTCCTGAACTCGTAAGAGATGATTTTGCAAATGGTAATTTATGGCTTTTATTACTAGCACACGAGACACATAAGGAAATATCTGTTGTAACATTTGGAAAAGAAATACCTAAGGAAGAGAGAATTTTTTAGTGATAGGGAGGGCAGGATGTCCTAGACGACAATTCCATTTATTAAGGGAATATTTTTGTGTGACATGAACAGAGGGGTATAACGGAGGGGGCACATCTGGTAAGCTGTAGACGTCTCCTTCATTCATACCCCGTAACAAAATTGCTCCCGTTCGCCGGTCCTTAACAAGACAAAAAGAAGGATGAAATTCAATTAGGACATCATTATCACGACATAATTTGGCAACAGAAATTAAATTGGTATGAATAGAAGGGACAAAAAGGGTATTAGGTAGGGAGAGAGAGTGAATGGTCATATGCCCAACTTGTGCTATCACAAGACCTTTACCGTTACCAATAACGAGGGAGTCAGTGTCAGTATAATCGGATGCCAAGGTAAGATTGTTCAGGTTGTTGGTGACGTGATTGGTGGCTCCAGAATCAAGTAGCCGACCATTGCGATTAGTGATAGCTGCATTGACTTGGGGAGGATAAGCCTGTTGTTCAAATCGATGCCAATAATTGAGAGCAGAATGATTTGGTTTGCCACAAATTTGACACATAAGATTCGCCCCAAAATTACCATTCCCAGGGGTGTTTCGGGCTAGCAGATTATTGTTGGAACTTCTAAAATTATTCTGCCCACGTCGGTTGGTGTTTCTGGGCTGACCTCCAGTATTATACCGGGATGGATTATTTTGACGATTGGGCTGGTTGTTAATTTGGGCAGATGGTCCAAGGCCCAATATAGAGGATGTATGTGTCGGACCTGGTCCTCTGCGAGCAGCAATTGCGACCGACTCCCCAGCAGCTATTTGACGAGGCTGTTCTTCGGCGATTCTGGCAGCAGTATTGGCGGTGACCACAGTCACTGAAGAGTCCAGAGCTTCCTTCCGTCGCAGGGTTGCCTCGAAACCAGTAAGCAGAGCATAGATGTTGCCGAAGCTATTATCCCCACAGGTACGAATAGAGTTTGTGAAGGATTCAAACTCAGGTCGTAGTCCCTCCATGGCTTG